ATATGCAAATACTACGCTGTTTTATATAAGGGACTTGTACTTCCGCAGGGGGTCCTGGAACCAAACCCACACATACAGAGGGTTACATGTATTTTAATTTTCAGTTTAATTTATTGGTGGCTGCTGAGAACCCAGCCTGAATGTTAGCACTGAAGTTGGCTTTCAGTGCTAAAAGCCACACCAGCATAAACCTCCAAACCCAAACTCTGCTGATCTACCCATGTCTCAGCCACTGCCTTGCCCAAGCAGCTCTGCTTCTTTCTGAGCCACTTAATCCTGTTTGCTGACTGTGTGACTCTGCCACGCTTTTAGGTCCTCATTTGCTTACAGTGTGACTCTGCCACGCTTCAGGTCCCCATTTGCCTACAGTGTGACTCTGCCACGCTTCCAGGTCCCCATTTAATGACTGTGTGACTCTGCCACTCTTCCAGGTCCCCATTTAATGACTGTGTGACTCTGCCACGCTTCCAGGTCCCCATTTAATGACTGTGTGACTCTGCCACGCTTCCAGGTCCCCATTTAATGACTGTGTGGCTCTGCCACGCTTCCAGGTCCTCTCCTCTTGCTGTGGCTTCTCAGATTTGTCCTAGTGCTTATGCCCATGGCCAACATTCCTGCTACTGTAGTTGTGTTCCCACCTGTCCTTGTGCAGTGACTCTGACCCAGAGTGGAATTAACATGCAGTAATTTACTTGTTGCATCAAGGGGCATCCCAGGTAACACAGAGTGCCTTTGTAGAGGGCTTCTCACTTCCAGCAGCAACATTCTTAGAGTTGCACTCACCACTAATTTAATCATAAATTAGATTGTTTGGTATATGAAAGGCCAAATTACACATTACTTTGGATCAGAGATGCCTGTCACTGCCAGGTGTGGTGAAGTGATGAATGTGCTGAGGAATGATGAAGTGGTGAGCCCCCTGTAAGGTAGGTGTGTGTGTGTGTGTGTGTGTGTGTGTCTCTCTCTCTCTCTCTCGCTCTCTCTCTCTCTCTCTCGGGGGGGGGATTTGTGTGTGAAGCACTGCATGAAAATGTACTGTGTCATAACTGCTAGTACCTAAAGCTATGAGTCTCACCTAACAAACCTGATCGATTTGGATTTCTTAGACCAATATGTACAGTGTAATCTGTAATGCTTTTGTTCATTATACTTTGTTTAAATGTTTTGTTGGACATTAACAGAACTTCAACAAACAGAAATACTGACCTCAATCCTGCTTAATTACTTTTAAACTGGTATTTTCTCAGGCCTGGACTAATTTTTAGGAACTTCATTGCCTCTGTGCAGTTTTAATTTCTTCTTATACCGCACATTTGATGCCAGGTTTAAATCTCTAATCCTTCTGTCTTCCGTGTTAATTTTGTTGGTTTCCAAGTGTCTTCTCTGATATCAGGCTCCTCTAACAACTTCGATTACTGACAATCTGCCGGTGGGCTGGCATGCTGGATCGGTGGGTAACACTGTTCTCTGAAACACAGCTCCACTCCCCTTGTTTGGAGTTCACACAGGTGTTTCATTTTCCTCCTGCAGTCCAAAGACATGCAGTGTGGTTAATCAGCATCTCTAAATTGCACAATATATTGTCCAAAGCATGTTTGTGAGCCGTTGTGGAATTGTTTTTTTTTTCTGTCAGCTCACAGTATGAAAAATGTAAAATCCTGCCAGTAGTAGCTTGAGAAATTCCATAGGTAAAAAGCTGGATGTGCGTGTTGAAATCTAGGCATTCCTGGTGCAGTTTTTTGTACAATACCCCACATGACTAAGATTTACTGTTGATTTTTGTGTCACTTTTTATAGTAACGATTTACACCAAAGAAGTCTTGAATAAATATTGTGTGCAACTATTATTGCTTTATATTAATTTTATTATCTGATGTTAATTTAATACTGAAGAGGTCACCATAGTACAGCATATCATTTTTAGATAAGGGATCTGAGAATGAAGTCCAGGGCTCCACAATGTATCGTGTCACCGTCGTCATCGCGATGTGTCAGCATTGTTGTGCGTCTGTTGAACTTTTTTGAAACTTTCTTTTGTTAGATAGTAAGAAGTTCCTTTGGCTATAGTTTATTTTGGGTAATTTCGTCAATTTTTTCGTTTTATAAATATCATAGCAATATTACTCGGAAATTTGACATATTGCGATGGGATAATGTACAGCTCTATTTAGAGAATTTGAGAGATAGTAACATACAGTTAGTACCATGCAGGGGGGTGCAGTGGCATTGTTGATCGACGTTGATTAAATGAAGAACATGACCGTTCCAGATCCACGTCAGAATGTTTCCAGCTCCTGCTGCACAGTCTACACACTCGGCAGTAAAGCATCAGCCCTGGCTTAATCCAAACAGGCGAGGTTCATCACACGCTTTACTACAGGAAGATGTGAATGAATGCGGCGTGGTCACGTCCTATTATGCTGACCTTTAAAAGCCATATAAAAAAAGCCAAAGCCAGCCTCCCCCAGACCTTTGCGTTTGTGTATAAATTAGTGCCCATTTGGCCAGGTTTTACCTAATAGACAGTTTCTATAACATTGTGGTATGACAAAGTAACAGAAATTGTGTGTGCGCGTGTGTGTGTGGTCATGTATATATTACATTGTGGGGACCATCTTTCCCGACAATATTATAAAGACCTGAAAAAACATTTTATTGTCCTCACAAGGGCAGCATCAGTTTTATAAAAATCTGCGAATGCAATCAAAAAACTAAAATAGTAAAAATGCTTGTATTTTGTTTGGTCACTTATGGTTTAGGTTGAGGCTGGGAAGGAGTTAAGGTTGTCATTGTTGGGACTAGGGTTATGGCCGTGGAAATTAGTGCGCGCGCGCGCTTATAAACGTTTCCCTGCATTGATGAATGTATTTTGTGTTCCAGTAGCAAAAGGAAGAGATGAATTTGGAGCCATATTTGAAAGACCTTTCCTAGCCCTTCACAATCCTCTCAGAGCTGCAGCAGCGAGTGCTGCAAATATCTGCTCATCATTAAAATGCTTGTCTGCGTAACTGCGGACAGAATACTACTGGGCAATTTGTTTTAAGGAGAACAGACATATTTATTTTATTTACCAGAAGGTTAATGTATGGTATACATAAAGAGGGAGCTATATGATACTCCCCACATTCCCTGAGGTTAACTGCGTAAGTAAAAGTGAGCTCAGTGACGTGGTTTATTATAATAAAATTCTGCAGCAATGTTCTATGGGTACATTCGCCTATTGTTACTTGGTTTGCAAATTAATTTTTGAATACAGGAGAGGGAGATACTGCATATATGACGATTAACAAAATTCCTAGAATGCTAGAACTGACATGTTCAACAGAAGGATGCTATTAAAACTGTCATCTATTATGGATAACCCCTCCCACCCCCTGCACCACACTGTGGAGGCTCTGAGCAGACTGTTACACCCTCAGTGCAAGAAGGAGCGCTTCCGT